CTGCTGAATTAAAACCTTCATTTACATGGTGCAGATTATATGATGATGGTGGCAGCTCTGCACATTTTCAATATGACCACTTGATAACCACACAAGTTTTCATGGGAAATACTCTGTTTTGGAACAAGCAGCAGGTCCACTACAGCACCTCTGGAAGACAGTGATTAACTTACGCAGAAACTAAGATGCCAAGGGTTTAGTAATGTTGCTCTAAGATCCAAGCGTGCTAATAAACCACACATAGGAAAAAAAATATGCACATATTTTGCTTATTACTTACAATGTCTGTAAAGACTCCTGGCCTCATCAAATTTATCATCTTCGCTACCTGGTACACATCGACTGAATTCTCATTTTCCAGTTGATGCATCAGTGTTGTTAATGCACAGAAAGTGCCTGCTGTCACCCCTCCATGCCTTTGTAAAGTTAAAAAAAAACAAAAACACAAAAAAAGGTCTCTAGAAACTGGATCAAGTTTCTACAGCTGGAGAAAATATAAAATCCAGGGTAAACTGATAAGAGTAATTTCAGTCATGTGATCTTTACACTTTACACTGAAATAGGCCTGCCCAGCAGTGCCTTAACACAACCTTCACAGCACCTGGCTACAAGCTCTGGAGAGCCTTTAAAAGCCAATCTTAGAGTTATTACCCTACAATCTCTACTAACCAGGCCTCAGGTCCTTCAGTATTTCAACATTTCAGTATTTTTGGCCATTATTAAACAGCTGGAGAAGGGTAAGGTGCCTCATCCAAATAGTCTTATTTCTTTCAATAACAGACAATGAAGCCCTGATTGATTTCTGCTCCAGTGCCCTACTTGACAATCATCCGGAGTATCAGAATGCTAGAATTGAAAGGAGAACATTGAATTGTGATAAAATAAATGTTTCTCTTGTTGATACAGCTGAAACAGAAGCAGCAGCACTATTGTTAGGTGCAGCCTTTGTGTCTTGTTTCAGTGGCTTTCACTTTAAATGAGATGAAAGGATGGTTCTACAGGAAAATATCGAAACAAACTGAAAGCTGCAGTTCTTACTCATCGTGTACAATCGTGGGTCCATCACGGTTGGAAGTTTCCTCTTTGATGATGCTGATCAGTTCAAAAGTTTTACTAATAGGACTATCAGGATTTGGCCATTTTGGACACTGAAAATGCCTCACTTCGAGTACATAGTCATCCTAAAAGAGGGAAAAAAAGCATAAATTGATTTGGTAAAAGTTGACTGTCTTTATCCTTATCCTTCACTCTGTTCCAGTCCAGCTCCAGCTTCCAGAAACATAATCCTACTGCTCTGGAGGCTGGACTATCCTATTCCCAAGGTCACCGATTACCTACTGAGGCTACTGTCTCCCTGGGTGTTTTGTCACTAATTTACCATAGTAGGTGTAACAAAATGTAAGCATTACCTTTAACAAATCAAGTCCTGAGTTATAGGTTTATGACAGTGTTACCTGAGTAGCTTCTAAAATAAAGTCTTGGATTATGAGCTTCTCCTCATTTGACAGACACTTGTGTTCTTCAGCAATCATAGTAACTTTGAAACTCTCACAGTTTATAGGCTCATCTTTGTTCGGCCAGTATACAAATTCATCTTCAGCCTCCAGGAAAAAAAAAAAAGAAGCCATAGAAGTAAGTAATGTTCAACTCTTAAAATAAAACTTAATCCAACACAATAAATAATGTGCCACGTATGTAAGCAATGCAGTCAGCTAGATTTAAATTGACAAATCAGAATTTGAGCGGGATTACAAACATCACAAGTGATGGTTTTCAGACACCTCTGCAGTGATCCTGACCAGAAGACTCGTGGAGATACTGACCCACATAGCAGTCAGTATGTGCTGTGCTGCACTCTGCCACATGTTCAGCCTGGCCTTCAGGCTGGACTGTGCTGCTCATAGCCTGGGGCCACAGGATAAACTCAGCTGGTTGATTATAACAGAGGAGCCTGCAGGCAGCTCGTGCCCAGTACCGGCGATTACACCACCTGCGTGGCCTTACGTTTTGCGCTTGCGTGGCAAGGCTTTGGTAGCAACAGGGCTACAGGAGTGAATTCTGTGAGAAGCTGCTAGAAGCTTCCCCTATGTCGAACAGAGCCAATGCCAGCTGGATCCAAGACGGACCTGCCGCTAGCCAACGCTGAGCCCATCAGCGATGGTGGCAGTGCCTCTGTGAGAACGTGTTTAAGAAAACGAAAAAATTACCATGCAACAGCAACTGCAGCCAGAGAGAGGAGTGAGAATATGCGAGAGAAACAACTCTGCAGACACCAAGGTCAGCGAAGAAGGTGGGGGAGGAGGTGCTCCAGGTGCTGGAGCAGAGATTCCCCTGCAGCCCATGGTGAAGACCATGGTGAAGCAGGCTGTCCTCCTGCAGCCCATGGAGGTTAACAATGGAGCAGGTATCTGCCTGCACACCGTGGAGGAGCCCACGCCAGAGCAGATGGATGCCCAAAAGAGGCTGTGACCCCATGGGAAGCCCATGCTGGAGCAGACTCCTGCCAGGACCTGCTCCAGGCTGGAGCAGGTTTGCTGGCAGGACTTGTGACCTCATGGGGGACCCATGCTGGAGCAGTCCGTTCCTGAAGGACTGCGCTCCATGGAAGGGACTGATGCTGGAGCAGTGCCTGAAGAACAGAAGCCCACAGGAAGGACTCATGTTGGAGAAGTTCACGGAGGACTCTCTGCCGTGGGAGGGACCCCACGCTGGAGCAGGGGAAGGGTGTGAGGAGTCCTCCCCCTGAGGAGGAAGGAGTGGCAGAGACAACGTGTGTGAACTGATCATCACCCCCATTCCTCGTCCCTCTGCGCCACCTGCGGGCAGGAGGCAGAGAATTTGGGAGTCAAGTTGAGCCCAGGAAGAAGGGAAGGGTGGGGGGAAGGTGCGTTTTTTAAGATTTGGTTTTATTTCTTATTACCTTTCTCTGACTTGATTGGTAATAAATTAAACTAATTTCCCCAAGTTGAGTCTGTTTTGCCTGTGGCAGTAACTGGTGAGTGATCTCCCCATCTTTATCTTGACTGAGCAGCCTTTTGTTATTTTGTTATATTTTTCTCTCCCCTGTCCAGCTGAGGAGGGGAGTGATGGCACAACTTTGGCGGGCACCTGGTGTCCAGCCAGTGTCAACCCACCATATCTTGGAATTATCTAAAAGTGCAGCAAGAAGTTCTCATGAGAACATACTTTCTGTTTGACAGCAGAAATGATGAACAGAGTTGTTTTCTTTTAAGAAAATCCTATAACAGCTTGGATGACCAAAATGGGAGTAACTCTTTCATGGATGGGAGCTGCATGGTGTGATGTACCTCGATCAGAGGTTCCCAGCAGCTGAAGGGATGTAAGTTTATCTACGCTAACCTCTCCTTCATAGTGTTAGCTTTAATAAATAGCATTTTAAACGATACTTTACAGAGTCTGAGTGCCTTTCTTACTGGCATCATAATGAACCAGCACCTCCTGGCAAAACAACCTCCCTTATTACAAAGGGTAACTTAAAAATCCATCTGTTTTACAGGAAGTCTAGCATTCATAAAAAATTTGATAAGAAAAAAACCAAACACTGTCTTGGTTGTACATGTTTTTCCAATCATGAAAGACTCTCCAAAGCATTTGCACAGCTTTCCTCCAAACTCATTACCAAACACGATGCCCTCTTTCACACCTCAAGATTTTTCTAAGTACCAAGCTACTCCTGCACTTCTAGTAACTGAAAAACATATATGTTTGTTATTAAATTATACATGCAGGATGAACATACGAGCTTCCTTTGCTGTTTAGAGTCAGGTAAATCCCTGCTGAAAATCTGTTTGTAACTTCAGACAAGCAAGACAACCAACCTCATATTTCTGCTCTTACCTAATAATGGTTGAAGAAGCCATACTACAATTAAAATAAAAGTCCTGGAGTGAAAACTAGCCTTGCATAATGGTTACTTCTGCTGTTTGGCTCTTTTTATAAATTATACAGGAATGATTCAATACTTTCTCAGCCAGTTGCAATTTGCCCAGACAAAGATCTCCAGATTTCCACTAGATGATTTGTGGATTTTACACTCAGTACATTATTATTAATTTTTAATTGTTTTTCACGAAATCCAAGACATTGTCTCTTGTCCTGCATATTTCAATATGGTAATACTAATAAAATTCACACATAAACCCAAAACAATCAGCCACAAAAATTACCATATTCTGGCTATCAGGAAGCATGACTATTAGCTGGGCATTATGGTCCCATATCATTCTCCAGAAATCCTTGATAGTGTGTAGTAAGGGATGCTGGGTAATAATGAATTCATTACTTTGATAATAACCCTGCAAAAGAAAATCAACACATTAGAATTGATGCCCAACTATTAACACTTAAAGCAAACTTCTAGTGGACAGAGCTAGAAGCCTAGAAAAAAACCTGCAGACTTGTGCCTCCTGTGGCTTCCTGCAAATATTAAAAGAATATAAAACTTCCATTGAAGTATTTTCCAGATGAAAATAATAAAATCAATGACACTGAAATAATTTTTAAGACTCCAAAAAATTTTATCAAAAAAAAAAAAAAAAAATCAGTGGAAACTTGAACATCCAACTTAGAATGAAAATACATTAACTCATACACACATGTTAATTGTTCTATATTAGCCAGAATTCCAGAGGAGCTGGCAACCTGAAACAAATAAAAGAACACTTGAAAGATCTGCAAAAATCCCAAGTGGTCTCTTAGTTTGTACAGATGTCCCAGATCAACTTCTTATCATAAAAGACAGTTCCTTTGCACTAATGCACCTGATGAAGGATCATGCATACACAGCACTGCAGGAAGCTTCCCCATCTCTTTCCTGAACATCCAAGAAGCATTTATTCCTCCCTCTCAGACAATGAAGGGGAAAAGAGTTGAAGAAAACCCAGGGAACAAAAGGATAATGGAAAGCTGATGAGCTATGGTGCCTTGGGCTATGCCAGTTGCAAAAGCTCTGTAAGATGAACATGTATGAGGACAAACCACAGTACAGCCATTAAAAACTAACTTGTTAGTTAACACTTTTAGTTCATCTCAAAAGATTCTTCCATAGGTGGCATTTAGCTTTATGAGACGTTAAAACTATGATGGGATTTCTGGTTCTACAGATTGTCAAAATGCAATACACTTAACCAAACTTAAAACCAGTAATACAGTAATCATACTTCCTGGGGGAAGTAACTCTTTTAGGCAGAGTGAATAATGGAAGAAAGGAGCTTCCACCCTAACCTGAACACATGACAGCTCTGAAAACAGCTATACAATGGGACATTGTTTTTCAGCACCAGAGTTTAAATGACTTACCATTATATAGGAAGCATTGATGTAGTCTGTCCCTTCACCAGACAGTGATGAGATACCCACTCTAGATCTTTCCACTGTAAAGAAAAGTCATGAACTACTACAGATGTTGCAATGACTCATACAGCAATTATCTCACACATCTCAATCAGGATCCATCAATCAGAATAAATCGTTATCCAGCCTTCTGTTTTCCTATGTATGCAGTACTTAGACAATCATTGCTTCACTAAAAATACGTTACAAAACATTGCTCCACACCAATGCAAATGTCTTCAGCTCTTTCTGACCAATCTGATAGCCTTCTATGATGGCATGACTGGCTGGGTGGATAAGGGGAGAGCAGTCGATGTTGTCTATCTTGACTTCAGCAAGGCTTTTGACACTGTCTCCCATCACATCCTCATAGGTAAGCTTAGGAAGAGTGAGACAGATGAGTGGACAGTGAGGTGCATTGAGAACTGGCTGAAGGGCAGCGCTCAGGGGGTTTTGATCAACGGTGCTGACTCTAACTGAAGACCTGTGACTAGTGGTGTCCCCCAGGTGTCAGTACAGG